GTTCTCCATTTAAAGCCCTTAGGGATACAGTCTTTATAGTAAGATATGAAGACCCCTTCTCCAAGATTTTTTTCTAATTAAAGTACCCCTTTTGGTTTTGCCTGCATAGGATGTTCAAGAAAATAATTGTTTGAATGTGAGCTGAGCAGTAGAATTTTCTATTGTAGGTAACTAATGCTGGTAGGGTAACCTAGATTGAAATCAAGTGCTGGTAAGTTTAAAAAACAATTGGAAGGGATGTAGTGTCTATGTTCTCTTATTCAAAGTGTTTCTTGAACAAGTTCCTGTGTATTGGCCTTTTTTTGTGTTTTCTACAGGTTCTGTTATGGTTAAGTGTTGAATATTTCTACTCCTAGCATTTTCAATCCCCTGAGAAGAATGAACACAAGACGCAGGAGTATAAAATCCAGCTATCCAGTTTCTGTTCTGGAAGCTGCTTTTTGCCTGGCTGCCTAAGTGCTACCTTTGTGGCTATCAATATCCTTCTCCTACAAGAAGGCTGCCAGACCTCGTGTAGACCCTGCAGACATGAAGGGCCTCTTTGAGCTCGAGATTTTTGCATAGGTCACAAATAGAAGGGGCTGAGGAGCAGAGCAAGTTGGGCAGTTGCAGACCATGTGAAATTAAAGAAGAGCAAGTGGCAGGTTTCATGCCTGGGATGGGATAATCCTGGTTCTTTGTACAAACTGGAGGACGGGAAGCTGGAAAGCAATCTGCAGAAAGAGACCTGGGGGTTGTGTTGATGGCAAGATGAACATGAGTCAACAGTCTGGCAGCCAGAAGGGCCACGTGTGCCCTGCGGTGCATCAGGAACAGCAGTGGTGGCTGCTAGAGGGGAGTGATTGTCCCACTCCATTCTGCTCGAGTCCTTGTGTGTAATTTTAGATGCCTCAAAACAATAAGGAGATCAAACTACTAGAGTGTGTCCAGAGGAGAGTGACCAAGATGGTGAAAGGCCTCAAGAACAAAACTTACTATGAGTGTCTGAGGTCACTTGATTTGCTCAGCCTGGATTTAAAAAGGCACACAACAGCCTACAGCTTCTTCAAGAGTGGGGGAGGGCAGCAGCAGGGCTTGTGCTGTTCTCCTCTCTCTGATTATCTCCAAAAGGACATAAGAGAATGGAATGAAGCTGCCTCAGGGGAAGTTCAGATTGGACATTAGGAGAGAGTTCTTACCTGAGAGGGTGGTTGGTCACTGGAACAAACAGGAAGAAACTGGGCATGGAGCCAAGCCTGACAGTTCAAGGAATGTCTGAATGAGGCTCTTATTCATATGATTTATTTATAGTCAGTCCTGTGAGGAGCAGGGTGTTGGACTTGCTGATCCTTACAGGTCCCTCTAACTGGAGATATTCTGTGATTGTAAGTTAGCCACTGATGGAGTATCAGATAATGTCCAGCTGTGGGATGGAGACAAGATGATCACTGTCACTTATTTCATAGGCCTGCAGCTAGAAGACCTGTTGCAACATGCAGGCTCTGTGGGTACCCTGTGGTGTGCAAGGGAGAGAAGGAGGGAAGGAAGCAGAAGAGCACTGGCTTTTTTAGGAAAACAAAATTAAAGCAGCCTATTGCTCAAGTTAGAAAGTTACTTTTGTGGTTATTCATTACAAATCTCCTTTCTTAGTGTGTTGCTCTATATGTGACTAATAGAGGAACTTTCCAAAGCTCCTGTTGCCTTCTGCAGTGGAATGTGAATATGACCAATCTAATACTGTAGCAGGAAGTATCTGAGAGCAGTGACAGGTCTTTGCGCTCTTATTTGCTTACTTGGATCTCTTTAATATCCTCTAGTTCTTCAGCTATTCAAAGTCTATGTTTGCTCTTTTTGTTTCACCTGTTTCCCCCCGCCCCCAGCTAACACAAACTATGTTGGTTACTAGGGATGGCTTGCTGAAGATCTCTCTCTTGAGATCCAGGTATTTGAGCTACAGACATGAAAGGAAAATAATGTAGACACTTCTGAAGTATTCTTGCATCTGCTCATGCCCCGAGGAGCTAGAAATACCTGCTGTATTGTGCTTTATAAGCAATACAATGTCTGCTTTATTTGTAAATATTTTTGTTCAGATTAAGAAAATGCTCATATGCTTAGTTGCTGTGGGTGTTCCTTAAATCTGTAGGAGTGCAGCATATTCTTGCTGACTTTTCCTTCTTGGACCCTGATAGTACAGTTATTCTAGTTCTGCAGCTTTATCTCTTATTTTCTAATTATTTTTTCCTGGAATCAACTGAATCATATTAAGCTTTTCTCCTTTTAGACTAAGTCACTGAAGTTCTACTTTAGTTGGGCCCAGCCATACCAAAAATGGAGCGAGTACATTTATAAAAGTAACTGCTTTAAAGACATAGGAAGGTTTGTCATGAACAGAGGAGAAACACCTTTCTTTGCTGGAAAAACCAACTTCCAGCACATTAGAGTGCAGAATGTTGTAATGAGTTCTATAAGCTGAGTTTTGACATTTTTTGCTACTTTATCTTGAAAACATAATGTATATGAGGAGCTTGATATCTTGCTGCTGGTGAATTTTGGTTTCAGAATAATAATTCCAGTCAATAAAGCATGATTTTTTAAAAATTGACTCTTAAATTTGTTTATTCCTCTCTCAAAGCATTTTTTTTAATGTGAGCTTGGCAGTAAGCAATCTCATCCTATATTATTTCTCTGTGAAGTTCATGTGCAAAATCCCTTAAAATAGCAATATCTCTGAAAACACATCATTTACAAAGATTTTCTCCTCTTGAAGGAAATGGCTGCAGCTCAAGCCATTCTGAGTTCCTGGAGTAAGTTTCATTCTGGCAATGGGAAGCTCTTCATATAGCCTCTTTTCTGCTCCAAGTTAAATTTCAGCTGCACCAAAGCATAAAGCTGAATGTATGTGCTTGTTTTTCCATCTGCCTGAAAAGAAACAGGGCTCTTGAAATGTACACAAAGTGTGACATTCGTTGTCTTAGTGATATACCTTTGAAACAGATGGCATTAACAGTTCTTGATGGTCCCTCCTCTGGGTGCTGTTCTGGTAGAGTGTTTTAAGGAGTGTGCATTTTCAACAGATTCCTCTGCCTGCCCTCTTGGAGTTATTCTACCAAATTCTGATCAGGTCTTGTCTTAGGTATACCTTCCAGAGAGCTGTAGCCTGAGAGATGTATGTACTTGAGAACACAAGCAAACTAGAATTCAGGTTTGAGGATAAACACTGCAAATGCCTGTTAAAATTTCTTGTGAGTGCTTTGACCTTTATCTGCCTGTCAATATGGAGGTTTCTTGGTGTAGTCTAACCAAAAGAGTAACTTCAGAAGTAACTGGCATTTGTGTCTTACAACCTTCTAATTTTACAGAGGTTTATAAAATTGTATTGCAAGGTTGATGTAGACTTCAGATAAATGACCTGCAAATATTTTGCATTGTGTGAAGCAGCTTATCATGATCTAGCAGAGCTTGTGGTCTCCACCTGAAATAAGGAACACCAAGTAAAATACTTTCTTGCTTTCTATTCAAGATCTGTACCTACTTATTTTATCCAGAAGATTTTAAATGCACTTTACTCATGCACCACAATGAAGTCATCAATCCCCTCTGTTTCCATGAAAGGGCTTGCCACGGAGCAGGCAGGCCTGTCTATCTTACTCTCTTTTCTGGAAATAAAGGGCATTATTAGTGCAGTTATCTGAGAAGGAGGAGACATTTCAATTTTGACCTCAGTTATGGCAAAAGATGTCACCAGGTATATAAGCATCCATCATTCCTGATGGTAGACACATGACTTGTCTTAACTTCGTCTGTCTCGTAAGTGAAAGGCGCATTCTGCTTGTGGTTTGATTTTGATGTCTGTTTATATTCCTCTCTTCAGACTTTGCAGTAGCTGGTTCTGATGCCTCTTTGGTGGTTACATTCTCAGACAAAAAGCCAGACACATAAATGCTTTATGCAGGTATCTTCTGAATTAAGGTAGTTTCTGTCTGGAAATAACTTTTGCTCTAGCTGGCTTGGTACTCAGTAGGTAGAAAAAGTCTTCCAGCTTCTATGGGGCTGAAGCAGTATATTTGGACGTCTTTTTTTTTTTAATAACAGATTACTTATTCTATGCTTCAGTGAAAGTAGGGATGATGAAAATTTAGAAATACCCCAAGCAGTTGTTTTAGCTATCCTCTTCTCTGCTGCTGAGATCACACCATTACATTTGTGCTGTGAAACCAGTTTGTGTCAGGGGTGTCTTGAGTTGGTGTGTTTGCAGTTGGCTGGGTAAGCAGCAATAGCTCTAGCAATCGATTTAATGCAGCAAGAGTCAGTATTCTTTTCCTAAGAACTGAAAATAGAATCAAATCCCCCTGGAGTGGAGATCCCAGTTGCATTTAGCTGTGTTTTAGGAAGTTGAAAAAACTGCTCAAGATCATATGTGCTAATATCTTAACGACCTCTATACTGCTAGCCCGAGTTAGGGGAAAAAGTAAGTCTTATGAACGCCTGAAAATTAATTTTGAATGGCAAGATGCTAACTCCATTACATAAGAACTTTCATATTGGCCTTTGTGATCTTCTTCAGACTTGAATCTTTTATGTTCTTGTGCATAGGAGCTGTCCCCCAGCTTATTTTGTGGTTCAGTGGAAAGAAGGGTGGGAAAGAATATACTGTGGATGGCACTAAGAAAACATGCAATAGCAGTGGCCAGAGTAAAGTGCATTATTGGCTGCATGAATGTATGTTCCAACCCTTCAGGTCATTTCTATAGAGCCAACGTTTAGTGGTTTTTTTGTTTGTTTGTTTGTTTGTTTGTTTGTTTGTTTGTTTGTTTTTTCTGAAAAGACATCTGGATAGTGACTTGGAGAGATAGAGAAAAATATCTGTCTTCAACCCTGACCCAAAATATTCTTTTAGATTGACTCAGGAAGCAGAAAACATACTTCAAGATAAATCACAGACAAGTTTATGACTTAATTAAATGGCAGATTTGAGTAAGAAAAATCAGTGTCATTACTCTTTCTTTTATCTTCTACAGGCGAAGATGACTTCTCTTTAGGAGACGCACTTTTGGAAGGTAGGCAGGAAAATTGTGCCTGCTCTTTTTACTTTTTTATTTCTAAGTATTACTGCATGACAGCTTCCTCACATCTGGTTTGTTTAAACAGTGGAACAATTCAGCCAAGTGTTTGTCAAGATGTTGACCACATAGAACTCAAATTTCTCTTTTGAAGATTTAAAGATTTCTCTTTGAGGAAAATTGTCTTGCTGTATAGATTTGATCTTGTGTATTTTGTTGTACAGACATGTACTTAAACTTTGTCCTTTGTCCTTCATGTAGCTTTTGAACAGTGTGTTAAATAGGTTTGTTTTTTTCCCTAACCATACCTGACAGAAACGACAAAGAAGCCTCCTGTAACTCAGAAGACACCATCATTAAATCCAGGTGAGATCTAATTGGCTTGTAATGCCTTTTACTGTAAAATTAAGTGTAGTGTACATACCAATTTGAGATCCTGAATTTTTCAATTTAGGGGCGCAAAGGGTTGTGATATTTCTATAAAACAAAGCAGTTCCCTAACAGCAAAATGATTTCTTCATTTTGGAATCCACTCTCAGAAATGTATTTTGTGATTTCACAAGACCCTGAAAGAATCCTTTCCATTGGCTTTCAGTCTACACGTTTGGAGCTTGCTCACCTTGAGCTGGCCCTTGACAGGTCCCATCATCTCCAAAAGCAGCAGTGTTACCAGGTAATGCCTGGTAACTGTGGGCCTTTTCTGTGAGTCACTGATGAGTGAGCATGTCTTTCATTTGTGGAGAAAACATTGTGACATCCATTTTGTTTAAAAAATAGTCTAAGACTAATTCAGTTTTTGCATTACATTTAAAACTTCCCTTCTTTCTTTGTAGATGATTTTGACTTGTCCCATGCTCTTGGTCCTGGTAAGTATCATATTTTCCTGGACACTGTTCAAATCTACCTGGTGCAATGTCCATTCATCCTTTATGACCTAAGTATAATAAGGCACTGAGTTGATTAAGGTAACAGACTATTGATAAAAATAATTACTGTCTAGTTACATTTGTTAATCTTAAGGTTCTGGATCACCAAAACTGTAGGAATTTCAACAATTTCTTAGCCAGCTTCTACTTGTTTCATTGGCGTTTTTTCACTAGGTGGCACTAACTCCATAAACTATTACTTACGGAAGGAAATGTTAATTCCGAAGTAATCTCCCATTTCAGGAAGTATTTTTAGTAGCACAATGAAACATTAATCTGTTATAAATAATTTGAAGGAAAGTACCCTTTCTAATGTGAAGGTTGTGACAAAACTGTACACAGGTAAGTTCTAAGATCTCTTTTTTTCCTATTTTGTGGCAAGCCAAATGAAATGTCATTGTGGGGACTGTATGTCTAGTTCTATTCTGTGTACTTTGTCTATTTGTCAAGTGAGGTACCAAGCTTTGTATTTGGTTAAAACCTGGTAATTTTAAAAGGGAAAACGGACAAGTAATCTGTACCTGATAGAAAAATTTAAAGAATCTCAGCCTTTGAAATCAGATGTGCAAACTAAAATGCTGCATAAGACTTAATGAGTTTTTCTGTGTATGCACCATCCTAGCAAGGATCTGACATGCTGGTTAATGTAGCAGGAAAACTTTTAGTGGCATTAAAACAGTGTTTAGCTAAAATAACCAAAGAAACACAGCATTAGCTAATGAAAGGAAAATGGCATGGAGAAGTTTTGATACAGTATTTTAGGTCAGATCACCTTTCGAGGTCACTATATGCTCTGCTTTTGGTTTCTTCACACTAGTAATTTTGCTCAATTTATTCTAACTCTTATTTGTCTACAGATGATCCCAAGCCACGTCCTCCTGCAAATCCTAGAGACACTGGTAAGACTGATCTAACAGGATTTTCTGAACAGTAAAAGAGTATTTGTTAATCTCTCCTAGTCCCTTTGAACATTAATGTACTATAGTCTGGTTTTGTTATCTTGACTTTTTTTTTTTTTCTTCCCTTAAATCTTTCTTCTGTGATTAGATAACCCCAAGCAAGATCAACCTAAAGGCTCTGGTAAGGCTTCTAGCACAAACTCCTCTTTTTA